TGCAGTATTATGTCCCTTAAGCGAGGGCCTTCGCTAATGATACCACAAGTACATTTCAAAGATATGGATTATCATTCATGGAATCACAAAATAGCCTTTGAGTCGTTCAGAAATAGTTCATATCATATTATAACGTACAGAAAGTAATTCATACCGAACATAGCTTTACTAAGTTATTACTCACAGATAAGTACACAGATAGCTTTGAAGGCAACCAATGAATCAACAGCTCACGGCGCGTGACATACACAAACATAACAGATACACATATTGAAACACACGCTTGGGTCATACTTAACTTATTTCATTTCGTTCTTCGAGTGTTTCTAAGTCTTATCATCATTATTGTGTCTTAATTATGGTCTAGGAATGCCTAGGATGCAATGAGGATGCCAAAATGCACTTGAAAACACTTAGTCAAATATGCTGAAAATAAGGGTCTCGCTCGAGTGCAACTTCCTTCGCTTGTGCGGGTCGAGCGCAGTTTCCTTCGCTCAAGCAATTTGTAAACTCTGTAAAAGGAATGGTTGCTTGATTTTTCCGCTCGATGCATGCTTGACGTTCACTCGAGTGTAAGACTGACGTCTTCACTCAAGCACAACTCTTGTTGCTCGAGCGGTCTGCAAAATATGTAAACTTCTGGAAGCATGCATTTTACGCTCGAGCCAATGTTTGGTCGCTTGAGCGGTGGGGAAAAACACAGAGTGGTCGCTTGAGCGTAGGTTTTGTCGCTCGAGCAAAGGAGCAGAATTCTGGGATTTCCATATTGGTCCTAAGCTCAAAACTCCAATTCAAGGCCGCGAAACAAGTTATTTTGGGCCAAAAACTAAAGAAAACCTGTGTAAACTTGTCAAACTTCATGAATTCAACATCATTTTGCAAAATCAAAGCCCAAAAACATGCCAATTGTGCAAAACAAAACTCAAATTTTTGAAAACATAACATTCATGTATTACCTTGACTTCAAAGCTTCCAAAACATGATCATTTGATATAAAATGGTATCAACCAAGATGAATTCTCAAAAGAAAGGTAAGATAGACACATGCATGAGAGAATTCTTTGAAATCAAACTCAAATTGTGATGAGATGGACATACATGGATAGTATGATCTATGTTCCTTCAAATTTAGCTCAAGTCGTGCATTACTCAACTAAATTCTCTTGAATTCCTGTTCTAGACTTCATAAGTATACAATTTAAGGGTTGAATCCTTACCTTAACTTCTTAATTAAGCTCTAGATAGTGAATTTTCTAAGGTTCCAAGTCAATTCCCTTGAATTCTCTAGTAACTCCTTTGTTTGAACTCAATTCTCTCCTTTCTCTCTCTCTCACTTTTTGTTTGCTCAAAGATGAGAGAATGAGAGTGTAGTTGAGTGTCTTGAATCATATAAGCCTTATATAGGCTTGACTAATGGAGCTTAATTAATCTTGGCTTAAACTAATCAAATGGGCATTAATTATTCTAATTAATTCGTTCCGAATCAAATTTCACTTAAACTTACCACAAAATTCTAAAAATTCCAAATAACACATAATCTAAGTCAATTTCGTGATCGGATGCCGATAAGAAAAAAGCAGAAAGACAAACAGATACTTCTATGATAGACAGACATAAATGCAAATAACACATAATTCATGTACATAACACATGATTTGCTCTTAATTACGTATTAGGCATATTCGATCATGGATTAATAGTTAATCACGGGTCGGGGTTGTTACACCTTTCCGGTATCTCATATGGTCCGATGTAACGTGGGTTCAATTTTTCTCGTTTTCCAAACTGAATGATTCCTCTTATTGGTGAGACTTTCAAGACAACATGATCTCCTATTTGAAATTTCAAATCCCGTTTTTTAGTATCTGCATAGCTTTTCTTATGGCTCTAAGTAGTGCGGATTCGCTGTTGAATGAGTTAGATTTTGTCACTTGTCATCTGCACAATTTTAGGGCCCAAAAACTTTCTGACTCCAACCTCCGTCCAGCACATAGGCAATCAACATTTCCTCTTGTACAATGCCTCATACGGTGCCATCTCGATGCTTACTTGGTAACTATTATTATAGGCGAATTTCACTAACAGTAGATGCTTGTCCCAATTACCTTTAACATACTCACAACATGTCTTCTAACGTCTGAATCGTTCTTTCGGATTGACCATCAGTTTGCGAATGATAAGCGGTGCTAAACTTTAGTGTTGTTCCCAAGGCTACTTGTAACTTTTTCCATAATTGAGATACGAAGTGAGAGTCTCGATTCGACACGATTGACACTGGGGCGCGATGTAATCTAATTATCTCCTTGATATATAAAGTGGCAAATTTATTAAGCGAATATATGACTCTGACAGGTAAAAAATGTGCTAACTTCGTTAACCGATCTACTATAACCCATATCATATCATAATTTGAAATTGATTGCGGTAATTCGATCACAAAATCCATGTTGATGTGTTGCCATTTCCATTCAGGAATATGGAGTGGTTATAGCAGCCCTGAGGGTCTTTGATGCTCTTCCTTAACTCGTTGACATTGAAAAAATTTGGACACATGGCTTGCTGTGTCCTTTTTTATTCCTTACCACCGGTAATGCTTTTTTAGATCATGGTACATCTTCGTATTCCCAAGATGAGCTGCGAATCTCGAGCTATGGGCTTCAACCAATATATTCTTTTTGATTTTTGGAATTTCAAGGTACACAAATTCAATTTCAAAACTTCAGCATCTCATTGCATATAGTGAAATTAGAATTAGGCTTATTTCGTTGCTCATCGTATCTTTTCTTCAAAAGTGGGTCCTCACATTGACGTGCCTTAATCTCGTCGATTATCGTAGGTTCTACGATTATATTAGCGAGTAATCCATAAGTCTTATATGGAACCAATTCCAAATCCAGTTTTTCCATTCTCGTGTAAGTGGTTTCTTGTCGGTGAGAATGTACGCCAAACTTTTGGTAATCTTCCGACTCAACGCATCTACTATCACGTTAGCCTTGCTTGAGTGGTATTGAATCTTCACATCGTAATCTTTCATAAATTCTAACCATCGTCGTTGCCTCATGTTTAGTTCATTCTGTGTAAATAGATACTTAAGAGTCTTATGGTTTGTGTAGATTTTGCACGTTACTCTGTAGAGGTAATGACGCCAAATTTTGAGAGCGAATATTGCCGTAGTTAATTTCAGATCATGAGTTAGGTAGTTTCTCTCGTTTATCGGTCCACTCGAACGGAATATTTTTCTGGGTCAATTAAGTCAGTGGTGACACAATCTTCGAGAAATCTCGAATGAAATGTCGGTAATATCCTGCCAATCCTAGGAAACTCCAAATCTCTGATACATTAGTAGGTCGCAGCCAATCCACGATTACTGCAAACTTTTGCGAATCAACAGATATGTCGTCCTTGTCAATGATGTGGCCAAGAAAGTGTACACTAGTGAGCTAGAATTTGCATTTCTTCAACTTCGCATAAAGTTTGTGATCACGTAGTGTCTATAGAGCTGATCTTAAGTGTTTGCTCATGGTCTTTCGGTGTTTTAGAGTATATGAGGATGCCATTAATGCAAACAATGATAAATTCATCGAGATGGGGTTTGAATACTCGATTCATGAGGTCCATAAAAGTCATTGGAGCGTTCATGACGCCAAATGGCATGACAAGGAATTCGTAGTGTCTATAACGTGCTTTGAATGCATTTTTCTTAATGTTTCCAGCTTTGACCTTCACTTGATGATAGCCAGACTGCAAATCGATCTTCAAAAATACCTGAGCGCCTTGAAGTTGATCAAATAAGTCATCAATTCGCGGTAACGGGTACCGATTCTTGATAGTGATTGTGTTCAATTCTTGATAATCGATACACAATCTCATTGTATCATCCTTTTTCTTCACGAACAATACCGGAGCTCCCCATGGTAAGGTACTTGGTCGTATGAAACCCATGCCAAGTAATTTCTAAAGTTGTGTCTTCAACTCTTTCAATTCCATAATCGACATACGATAAGGAGTTTCCGATATCGATTGTGTACTGGGTTGAATTTCAATGGTGAATTCAACTTCTTGTTCAACCAAGGTACCAGGTAAATCTTTAGGAAAAATATCAGGAAATTCTCAGACTACAAGTATTGAATTGAGTGTTGGGTCTACGTGTTGAGTATCGATCGCATAACAGATATACCCATAACAACCTTTTCTCAATAGTCATTGGGCTGACATAGAGGATATTAAACATGGATGGGTAGAAACTCCAATTCCATCAAAAACAAGTTCACGTTGGTTTGACAATCGAAGGATATGCTTTTTTGGTTGTACAATCAATAGAGGCATGGTTGGTAGCTAGCCAATCCATTCCTAAGATTGCATCAAAACTACTAATGCGGAGTGGAATCAAATCCGCATATAAAATTTCACCTTTTTAGGATATAACACAGGACTTATAGACATTAGTACTAAGAACAAAACCACCAGACAAAAAATACACAAATAAAGCATATCCTAGGGACTTAGGAGTTGGTGTTAAATTGGTAGTAAAGTGTGAAGCAAAAAAAGAATGAGTTGATCTAAAATCAAAGAGAATATGAGTTGAATGTCCACATATAGAAAGTGTACGTGACACCATGTTCTCGGTAACATCGGGGTTTCTAGGCACCAAAGCAAAAGCTCTCCCTTGACGTCTCTGTTCTTTCTTCTCCATTCTAGTTTTCTATACTGATCCAGGGGTACTCGTCAAGTTTGGACAATCTCTCACCACATGACCAACCTGACCACATCTGAAACATGCTTCGGTCACCCGGTGGCACTATCTCCAATGAGCATTTCCACAAGTTGGACAATTAGGGATGGTGCTACCTCTAGTGATAGTAGCGCCTCGGTTGGCTGAACTGGTTGAGCCATTGGGTCCCATATTCATATTTTTTTTATGATGCTGAACTAGACCATCCAGTTGGTTCTCTCTAGAATTGCTTCTTTTGACCCATTCCACCAAAATGTGAAATTTTGACTCATTTCTCCATGATGTATGCTAAATTTACCATCTCCGCATAGTTTGGTAATTTCATAACCTTGATCTTGCCTTTGATTTCTTCATCTAAGCCTGCTTCAAATTTCCTTTCCTTTCGGTCCTCCATTGGAATAATATACGTTGCAAATCGTGCCAGCCGTGTGAACTTGCTTTCATACTCAGCTACTAAATTGTTCCCTGCTCTAAGTGTAAGAATTCCAATGCCTTTTGCTCTCGTAGTTATTCTGGAAAATATTTTTCATAGAAGACTTCTACAAACCTTGCCCAAGTTGTAATCTCTTCCCTTTCCAAGATAAGAAGCCACCACTCTTGGGCATCTTCTTTAAGGGTGAAGGTGGCGAAAGTCACCTTCTGTGCTTCAGTACAAGGTAGCATATGGAAAATCTTTTCCATGTCCCTAACCCAAGCTTCTGCTAGCAATGGGTTTGAATCCCTTGCGAATGTTGAAGGTTTCGGGTCTTGGAATTGCTTTATTGTACTGCATCCTTCTCTGTTTTCTGATATGCCATTGGCTACGTTATTTTGCAAGACTTGCAAAAAGCTAGCAACAGTGCTTTCTACTATTGTTTCTATTGATTTAGCTCCAACAGATGTTGATCCAGTACCATTTCCATCATTAGCTATAACTACAGAATAAAAGTTTTAATGAACCCTGTCCACAATTCCTATATGTTCATACTAATTCTTAATCATTACACTTAATTCACGCAAAACAGAATGCACGCATTATTCACAGAAATATCTCTTAAGCTTTTCTTTACTTTTAGCAAAGTAGTGATTGAAGGAGGACAAAACATATATTCTCAGCTTTTCTTTGCCTCCATTAGAATAGTGATTGAAGAGGGACAAACATGACAATTTTTACATGAGGTGAATCTCTACAAAACGCTCCCTACTCTACTTCTTAATTGTGCATGTGTCGTATGCTCCAATGTAGGGTTTTTTTATTTATTTATTTATTTTAATTTACAAAACCATTGCTCTGATACCACTTTTGTCACGACCCAAACCCTATACCCAGAGGCTAGGCGTCGCGACAGGACAAAAACATAAGTCAATACTAAAATGTATCAGATTAAAAGCGTCGCGACAGGACAAAAACATAAGTCAATACTAAAATGTATCAGATTAAAAGCACAGTGCAATAAAATAAGAGGATATCCAAATATTTATATAGTAATATATATTTATTTATTTACATTGTCAGAGCTAATATTATGGTTACAAAGTGCATGTGTCTACCCAAGCCTTGGTCCAGCTACACCAACATAAGAACAAGGGAACAAGTCCCTCCCTAAGCTTCATCACCTGAAAGTGGTTAACAACTATAAGCACATGACAGAGTGAGAAATATTATACTGAGAGCGTAAGGGTATAAAAATCACTATGGATAATTATTAGGCTAAACAAAAAATCATTTGCAGAAATTACTTTAAATGACAAACATATAATACAAAAATCATATAAGTAAAATAATCATAACTGTGGTACAGAATAGAACAGAGGATCAATGGATATTTAAGTCCCTCAAACATGAGACCATTAGAGGGCCAGATATTTGAGTCCCTCAGACATGAGACCTTCAGAGGAATAGAGGGTCAATATTAATTCCTAACTTTCACTTCTAATCCTGACTCACTCTCTTATACACCTCTCATTTGTTTGTTTGTTTGCGGTTTTTTTTTTTTTTTTCCCTGTGATTTCCTTACCATGCAACTCACTTAATCCTCACTATGCACCACTGTGTCACCATGTGGATTCACCACATGGCACTCCACGCATCACACATGGTTTTGAAGCAACAATTTGAACAAGTTCCCATATTCTATTATGGCCCAAAAAAAATGTTATAATTCCACTTTCTTTTTTTTTTCAAAGATTAAGTAAATATATTTTGGGGTGTTACAGCATCACTATGACTTAATTTTATTAGTGAAAACCTTACTACATCTTTTTAACACATGGCAATATTTAATTTGATAATCATGTAATCTTGATTTGAGACCAATTACAAGATTTAATTTACCAATATTTGTGCCATATTTTGTAGGCCTTTGTAGTATGTGGCAATTTGTAATTGGCTGAAATTTTCCATGCGTACAAATACCCCTTGTAACGCCCCGATATTTTAAACCAATTTATAATTACCATCCTTTATTAATCTCCAATTTCGAAGCATAAAGAAGAATTATAGAAAATTAATCAAAGTACAACTATTTCATAAGTCCATTGTTTATCTTTCTCATAGAAGTTACATTTTCACTTTACAACATTAGTGATCACAATAACAATACATTATAGTTCAAGAAATAAAGGAGATACAAGAAAATGCCCAAAGAGGGCTTACCCCTTTCAAGGCTAGGGCTTTGATTGCACACATAAGTGGAATTTCTATCCCAAACACATAACCTCGGTGGCTATAATTACACAAAACATCCAAAATAAACTTTCGTGCTCCATCAAGATCTCCACCAATTCTTAGCTGAGTGGAGGTACATCGTCATAACTTGAAATGTTTGTTATGATAGGAATGAACTAATGCCCAGTTGTAGACACCCTATTTTGACTGGCCCTAAGACTTGGGCGCTTTCTTTTGATTACCTTATGATGAAATCAAGAAGGTGTTTCTCACAGAATCCTCAATAAGAAAACTTAGAATTTGAACCCTGTTTCTAACCCTAACTAGCCACAAATTACCTTTCCAAGGAAATATTATGACCTCACAGTTGTGTCTAGAATGGTTCGTTTAGCTAGGAAAACCCTTCGCTGCACTTCCGGGGGCCTTACTGAAAAATGCTCCTGAAATCTAGGTTACAACACAAATATTTGAAACTTCTGGGGCCAAATTGTAATTTTCAAAACTCAGGGAATATTTTGTTAAAATCAAGGAATATTCTGTCGATGCTGATTGCGACGCTGATGTGGCAGTCTTGCTGACATGGCATGACTAGATTGGTCCTTGATGATGATATGGCGATGACATGTCTTTACCCAAAAAAATGAATTTAAGGAATGCTTGGAAGGGGTTTTGAACCCTCAACCGAAGACTCCACATCTTAAGTCTTAACCACTCTACAAAGCTTTGCCTTGTGTTATATTTCCCCTAAAATAATATTTGACCATTTCAAACCAGCAGGCAAAGAAGGTGTATTTTTACATTTTTTTTCCTTGTGCGTAGTACACTTCTCTACCCTATTGGGTGACCCATATATCACTAAATACATACCTAATCATCCCCCATTGTCAAAAAGAGGTCTTGTTTGCATCCATAAAGGAGTATCCCATGCAACCACCTTGAAAATTTGCCCTTCTATCACATTCTTGTCTCCCACCTTGTCTCCCACTTTCTTTTTGACCTTAACTCTCCCACATTGCCTATATAGAATGATCAGATGGTAAGAGAAGACGAGGACCATGATATTGAAGAGAAAATAGTGAAAAAAGAGAGAAAAGTCGAATTTTTGAGCTAAAAATACTCCTATCTTCTATATACACCCCATACCTTCCATACAAACTGAAATTCCATCTTTTCTACACCAAACTCCTCCAAAAATTCTGAAATACTTGAATTTCAATGGCTTCGATCAAGAGGCAGAGTGGGTGTTGGTAAAAGTGAGCAAAAACAAGAGAGATAATCACTTTTCCCCACATACACCTCCAAGCCATCATTTTAGCAAGGATTAGAAGCTTTCAAATTGAGGATTGAGAACACACTTCCTAAACTTCAGGGTGATCAAGAGGAAGTTGGAAATTAAGAAGTCCAATCTTTCTTTGGAAAGTGAATTTCTAGTCTTTCATTTTTTTTTATATTTTCTATCTCATATTTATTTTCTTACTTTACATTTCATAGTGTGTTGTTGTAATCCAAGTGGTTTGTTTAGCTCATAATTATTTATTTATTTATTTATTTTTATTTGCTTGCTTTAATTTCATATTAGTTTTGTTGTAATCTTGCATGTTCTACCTCATAATAGTGTTTTGTTATAATCCAAGTAGTTTGTTTATCTCATATTTATTTTCTTACTTCATATTTCATAGTGTGCTGTTGTAATCCAAGTGGTTTGTTTAGCTCATAATTATTTATTTATTTTTACTCGCTTGCTTTAATTTCATATTAGTTTTGTTGTAATCTTTCATGTTCTACTTCATATTTGTTTTTTTGTTTTAGGTTCATGTTAGTTTTGTTATAATCTTGATAGAAAGAGGGTATCTCAAGCCTCTGGACCCCCGACCTCTTCCCGATACTCTCCCAGCCAAACACAGCCCTACCAAATACTGTGCCTTTCACCAATAACCCGGACATGACACTAACCGCTATTTTCGCCTTCGCCATGAGATCCAAGACCTCATTGACAATAAGATCATAGCTCTTCCACAACAACTAAAACCCAACGTTACTACCAACCCGTTGCCACCCCATGACAAAAATCAACCACCTCATCGCCTCAACCATATCCATACACTTCCACCTACTTTTAACCCTACTATATACATCACACCTATCCATCTACCCAAACCTGAGGTGTGCATTCTAGAGAGCATTGATTTGTGTATGATGGATGCACCTCTAACCCAGCCAAAGCCAAAACAAACCATAGTGGTGGTGGTATTGCAAACTGAGGAAGAAAAGACCATATCAAGAGAGGGACCCAAAGAAGACATAACCGAAGTACTCGTGATTAAGACTGGAAAATTTCCGGAAGAAGGATATGATCCCAGCAAATACATAGTACCTGTTGGCTAATTGAAACCGGAAGTTATCCTGCCAGATTCATGTACCATCAATGTCATTAGAGAAGATATACTTGAACAAGGATTAGATGACTTGGCTAATCTAGAAAAAGACTTGGACAATCTCAAATTCTTTGAGGAATTAGACTTGGGAAATGTGTAGATCTGCTGGTGGGATCCAAGATCCAACGCTACTCACGGTTGGGCAAGCGATCATGAAGGTCCTGATGAAGAAACTAATGGAAAAGAGGATGAACCAAAAATTGACACTGGAAAGTTCGAAAATAGTGGCAACAAAAGGGGTTCCAAGAGAGAAGAAGAATCAAAAAGTCCGCCAGAGTATAACGTGAGAATGATTCATTTAGAGCCTGACAATTGCCTTTCGATTAACAAAGGCCAATGGTGGGATGATATCGATCTGCAGCTCGTCCACACCGATGATGAATGGGGTAGTACTTTGCTTGATAAGACTTGGTATTCCGAGGAAATTAATCACCTAACTAGGAGTGGGCATTACTTTAAACCTCCACAACTAGACCAAGGTGAGTCTTTGGGCAAAGATACAGACATTGATAAAGAGAAAGAGAAAGAGAAAGAAGTAGAAGAAGACTTGGTTTTAAAACAACTAAAAAAGATCCAAGCAAACATCTCCATTTGAGGAC